AGCAGCAGTTAGTTTTCCTCTTTTCTTTATGTACTTCTTTGTTTTCTCTAGTAAAGGTGTAACTTCTATCTCCTTGGATTTTTTTTTCTCCCTTCATGCTTAGACTGTTTATGACTTTTTCAGGAAGTTAAACAAATAACCAACAAGTTAATATTGAAGTTTACAGCTTGATAACAGTTCTCTGATGGAGGAAAATTTTGGGAGTTCAGCTGCAGATGATGTTTGCATTCTGGTTTGGACAATATGGTCTAACTGATGAACATCTGATTTTATTTCATACCCCTCTTTTCTCTGAAACAACATGGTCAAGAGAAGTTTTTCATGCAGATCTTCAGCTAAGAAAGAATTTAAAAGGCTGTATTGTCATCTTCAGTGCCTGTGTTTCTTGGTATTTACTTATCCCAAACTCTTTGATTTTATGCTCAATTTCCTAAGCTGATAGTTATTTTAATTTTTGATCTAAATTCTTGTCAATTTTCTTATGAAACAAATACAGCGAGTTGATGCAAAGATGGATACTTGTGTCTCTGGTTGTCCTATGAATTCTCTGAGTTTTGTTCTATTTGCACATCATCACTTGTCTTCTGAAAACCAACAAATAAAAATATGTTTGTGGCCCAGAATGAGTATGGCAGCAATTTGTGTTGAGGATGCTTTGCTTGTACTTTGATGGGAAAATAGCTGTTGGTCAGCTAGTTTTCATATAGCATGTCTGCTTTGGAATGCTTTTAGTGTTCCAAAATATATTTACTAATCAGTTAAGATTAGTAACTGAAGATTAGTAACAGAAAAGGAGTTAAGATTGAAAGAAGAGATAAGTACATCACCATTGTTTGCTCCAAGAGTTTTAATTAAAAAGGCAGACCAAAAAGTTCACATACTGAAAATAAAAAGGAGATTCAAATGTAAAGGTGTAACTTACCTTTCTCTTGATTTTGTGCTAAGTATGATTGTTTATGTTATAATGAAACTTATTTTTTATACTTCAAGGAAGAAAACAATTAGGTTTTTTTATCACATTGGAAAAATTTCAAAGATATGCTAATCTTAGAGCTCAGCACAAAATTATTAGTGTATTGACATATAATGATGGTATGAGTTCTTTTTTTGTATCTTCTAGAAGTAAATAGTGGAAAGTTTTTATTCATGCTGAAGTGAAATTTATTTCTGCATGCTTTTGAAGCTACTTGACTGTCAAATTTCTTTGTAGTTATCTTGGGTTTTTAAACATCCACGAAAAGACTGAAGTTATCCTCTAGGAATGTGCTGTGAACATCATTATGTGTTATGAATAGTACAACTCTATGAAAATTCAATCTATATTCTTTCAATTAGTTATATTTCTAAAGCATATGTTAGTTACTTCTCAAAGGTTAGCAGAGCTGTGGATGGAAATGTTACCAATTTTTGGTGCGTAAGGTATCTCTAGTTAAAGTTTTGTTGATATAAATTATGGGTTTGATTACTATTAGTTTTGACATTTGACATTTCATATGTTTGAAACTGGTAATAAAATATTGTATCCAGAATAAATATTGGAAAACAGCATGGGTACTGTAGTGAGCTGTATGCAGTGGGTCCTTTGAAAGGACTCACCTGTGAGAAATATGCAGCACTCCACTGTTGTTTGCTTTGTAAGATCTTTTTTAGTACTTCCTGTGGAAAAATTCTGAGAAAAACCTAGTAGCCTCAGAATTAATACGTGGTGTGTTAGGACTTGGTGAGAACACTTACAGAGTCAGCTAGGTTGGAAAGGACCTTGGAGATCAAGTCCAGCTTATGACCTAACATCACCTTATCAACTAAACTGAGTGCCACATCCAGTCTCCTTCAAACGCCTCCAGGGACAGTGATTCCACCGCCTCTCTGGGCAGCCCATTCCAGAGCCTGACTCTGCTCTTTTTGTATCCTCCCTTCAGGTATTTATATACATTGATAAGATCCCCCTGAGCCTTCTCCAGACTTAACTGTCTTAACTCTCTCGGTCTCTATTTATGTGAAGGATGTTCCAGACACGTCATCATCTTTATGTCCCTATGCAGGTCTCTCTCCAATATGCCCAAGTGTTTTTTTCTGCTGTGGAGCCCAGAGCTGGACAGGCCCTAACAGTGCTGAGTGGAGGGGTAGGATCACCTCTTGTGACCTGGGGGCAGTGTTTAGTCTAATGCAGTCCAGGATTCTTGGCCTCATGTTCAGTTTCTTGTCCCCTGGGACACGCTGCCACCTTTTGGGCATGGCTGTTCAGCCAGTTTTCAATCCACGTCTCCTTCAGCTTCTCCTGACCACACTTAGGCAGCTCGTCCGTGAGGATTTCAGATAAATGTCAAAAGCCGGCAGTAAGTAAAATACCCATGAGATACAGATTCGTTTTCCAGCACAAATCCAAAACATAGCCCCCTACTGTGAAAGACTTCCCTCTGTCACAGGAAGAGCTGGCTCAGTCACCTTCCCAGGTCCTGAGTTGGGACTGCCTAGCCTGTAGCTCCTTGTGGTTTCTTGTCATTTCTTGAAGACAGGGATGACATTTACTCTCTCCAATTCTCAGACACTTCTCCAGTCATTGTGATCAGCCCACAGGTATTGAGTGGAGCCTCACAGTTACATCTGCCAGCTCCCTCAGCACTTGGGTCATCCTGTCAGGCATCACAGACTTAATTATGTCCAACTTCCTTAATGATCCTCTTTCCCTAAGCTGTCCTTTTTCCAGACCCTTGCATTGTGCAGGTCAGTCTCTTATCTATAGAAAGAAGGAAAACTCTCCTAGTGTAGTTTTTTCATACATATCTATATGTATCATGAAGTGTACTAAAGTAAAGAATTGCATTGATACTCATCTATTTGTAAATACATGCACTGTTTAAAGTGTTGGGTGTTAAAACTGGCTTCAGTGTCAGTAGCCATTGATGACACCTGCAACCCTTTCCAAGTTAATATTTTATTCTTTATGGACAATGGTGGAATTTCATTTGATCTGAAGACTGATGCTTTTGAGATAAGAGACATAAAAATATCCTAATGAACCTCAGAATTCCTTTTATGCTTACTGTGTTGGTGAATGGAAATGTTCTCTTCTTGTTAGCTTCCCTGGCATTGCTCTCTTGTTCACTCCTCCTCCCTTGCTTCCTCTTGCTATCCTGTCCTACCACATAGATTATCTGAGGAAGTAGGAAAGTATCCAGGACACAAGTTGCCCTGCCACATTTGTAGCTTCATGTGGTAACCACATATCCTCTGAACAGAGAGGGACATAGCTCTCCCAGGATTTTCCTGGGAAGCTGTGAGAAAGCTGTGAGAAAGCTCAGAGAAAAAATTAAAACAATTATTATCTCTCTTTCTGCACATGTTGTTTACAGATATGATTTTCCAGAGTGTAGTATTCATAGTTCATCAATAGTGTGAGAGGTTTTTCCTTTAAGATCAATCAAATCTCAGCTTAGAGTCAGGTTATAAAAGATGTGCTAATTTCTATTAAACACCTTTTCACCTTCTGAAGACTGGAGTCTTGTGTTCCTGTCTCTGCTTCATCCCAATGAACTATCTGTGTAATATTTTAAAAACCTCAAAACTGTGCCAAGTGTAGGTGCTATTTACCGTATCATGCAGTTTTGGTAGTAAAATGTGCATTCATACTAACAACACTTTAGCTTTAGCACTTCTTTTTATCGTTTAATGTCCTCTTCAGTGGAAGGTCTGTGTATGCACATCCTGTAGGGAAGAAGAAAGAGCAGATATAAACTATAATTGTTATTTGCAAAATATTGATGTCTTAAATGTGACAGGGTAGAGATCCTTTTATACACCCCAAATACTCAGAGAGTGGTGTGGGAACTGTAATTATGTTTCAGTTTGGGGTATGTGCAGGCTCTTCCATACTATTTCCTTTGCATAGTTTTTCACATTTAATCAGTCATAATATTCCCAGCAGGCTCCTCTGTTCACACTCACTCAACTCTGGCTCAACTCATTTCTAACTCAGCAGGAAATGTCCACACCACCACGATGTTAGGCAGTTGCTTGTGGAAGTTTGTTTGCTACCTCACTTCATTTTTCACCTCAGAGTCTTCCATTGTTATGCTCCAGGTACAAATTATGTTTACTTGTATGAAATAAATCAGTGTCTCCTTGCTTCCTGTGGTGAGTTTAAGGTTGTGAATAATGTAGGGGTTTTGATTATCTTGAGATATCTGAAATATTTTCTCTCCTCCCTGTATTTTTCCTTATCTTTAGGTTCTTAGCTGTCTGTCTTTCACTAGGATGTTGATGATAGGACCAAAGAGAAAATACTTGCTTTGCTAGAGACCTGGAGATATTCCCGTGCCTTAGTTCTATAGAGCTCACATTCTTATTTCACATGAACAGAAATAGTGACCAATCTCTATTTTATACACAATAGCACACTCTAGTGTATATATTAATTAGCAATTATGGACTGATTCTCATCATGCTTACCTCAGTTTCTTACTGATTCTCATCATGTTTACCTCAAGTTTTCCTTTGCATTCAGTATTACTATTTTTTCTCTGTACTTGGGTGAATTGAAGGATATATTTATATCTTCAAATAAGAATTACCTGTTTCTTAACAGAATCATTATGATGCTAAATGTTATTTGTAATTTTTTTAAATGGTGCTCTTGAAGAAGAGTTGATTTTATGGAGACAATAATCTCAGTGCAATGGACACCACTATGAGGACTTTCAATGATGTAATTGTGTAAAGCAAAGCTGCGTAAGATGAATTTAGCATATATATATATATATATATATATATATATATATATATATACACACAGACACACACACTCTTTAGGTATTATATATATGTATACATTCATATACATTATATATCATATCTAAAGGATCAAGCTGTGTGTATTTCTTCATGAAAGATACCAAAACAGGAAAATAATTGGTATTTATTTATTTATTTATTCATTCATTCATTCTCATGAATTAAAATTGTTGTGCCATGTGCCTAATGTTTTCTGTATTTTTGTACAGGAAAAGCATAAGCAGGAATTAGAAGACATGAGAAAAGCTGGACATGAAGCCTTAACTATTATTGTTGAAGAATTCAAGGTAAATGAGTTGCCAAACTAACATGATTTCCAAATGGTGTTATTGTAGCAGTGAATAGGATGACTGCCTGCAGTGCACAATTATTACTACTACTTGTGCTGATTGCTCGACCTCTCTCACTGTCTTTTCTGTTGCTTTCAATTTAGATTGTTTGGTCTGAAATTTTGCATTACATGTTTTCGCAGTCTGCACTTTGGAAAACTTCAGATAGAGTTGGTTAGCCATTTTCAGTAAGGAAACTTAAAACCAGAACAAACCCAAAATTCTCAGTCAGTTGTGGTAAACTTTGGGTTGGATTGTTTATCACAAATCCACATTTTGGACCTCTTCAGTCTCCAGAGCTGCACTTGCATGAAAGCAGCATCACAGAGTAGTCCAGCAGGTTTTTATCCACACAGCACTAAGGGAGGGAGTTATGGATGAAATAAAGCTGAATCTGTAATCTGTAGTTCTTCTTTCATGCTGTTTTGGTCAGCTTGTAAGATGAAAGAACTGGATGTTACCATGGAGCATAAATCTGTGTCTTTTGTTCTGTTATGGAAACTATTGAGTAAGAAACTCACAAAGGACAAAAACTGAATCAAGTTGGGAAGAGAAGGTAAAGCTAAGAATTCTAATTAGACTAAAAAGCTGATAATGGGAAATGCAAATTAAGGCTGGTTTTGAAAATGAAAAGGGAAACTTAAGACCTGGTAGGCAGCTGTAAGCTGAGAACACAAATCTGACAATGTAGTTAGTGAAGAAGAATTTCAGATTTAAACTGTTTGGTAGCAGTAATTTGTAACCAAAGAATGATCTGGCATGGAGGGCAGGAAGATGTAGTGGTGGGCTTGGCAGTCCTGGGTTAGGGGTTGGACTCAATGATTTTAGCAATCATTTCCAATATTAATGATTTTGTGATAATAAGAAAGCCTTTTAATAATCTTGCTAGTAACTGTCAGTAGAGTTCTGATATTGAAATTGGCTCTCTGTGGATGTCTGTCTCTATAATGACTTATACTAATTTCATTCTGAACCTGTCCAGAAAAATATTTCAAAGTTTACATTCCTGAGAAAGCTGAAACATGGCCACTGGTGGTGTCCCACTTCTCCATGCCTCCCTCACTTCACTTCTGGGGAAGAATTTTACTCCTCTTCCCTTAATTCTTTGAGGACCCCTTTGCCTTAGAAATTCTCAAAAAGGGAATTTTATTTGGAATGTGGACCTTTGGATGTGCCACTGAACATCAATGCCAGCATTTTTAGTTTCTGTTTTGTTCTAGATATGTGTAAAATATTTGTCTGTTCCTGTGTGGACTTACAATTGAAAAAGCTTGTGAGCTTTTGATAATTGCTGCACGTATGTTTCCTTCTTTTTAGTTCTGAAAATATAAGCAAATTGTGAAATCCAGCAATTTTATGGTGTTGAATTAAAGTTTTGAATGTTTTCAAAGTGTAATCATTCACCATTTTAATTGATTTGTGTGAACTAAAGGAGAGCTCTGCATGGGCTATATTGGCCCTTTGAAGGAATAATTTCTTCCTTTGTAGTTGGGTAAAGGGATACATTTATGTGCCATAATAATTTTTGAAAGCTGTTTTGCCAGTCAGCAGCAGCTGGGTAGATCTGACATGCCTTCTGGAAAATAAGTTTTATATTTATCAGTTTCAGTGATTTGGCACAAAAGATTAGGGAGTTAATTGAACCCTGTATTTCTAAACAATGTTTATATTTAGTGTATTATTTCTCATAGAATGTTTATATTCAAGTTACATAAAGTCACTCTTTAATACCATGGAACCAAACTACGGAACAGATTTTGCCTCCACTGATGTTACAGTGTTACTTTTTTTCTTTAAAGTACATGGCAAAGGATTACAAGAAAGGTATTAAACAACCATCCAAAAAAATGCTTGGGTTTTTTTAAAAACCCTGATGAATAAGTCACCTCATGTTTGTAGACAGGGTTGATTGCAGTAATTTACTCAGAGCTTGGCATATCTGATATTATTTCTCATCAGAGTGTTCAAGTAACCACATGAGGCAACAGGAAGGCTTGTATGAGGTATATTCATGTCATGGTTCCATGGTATTCAAGAGTGACTTTATGTAACTTGAAAATAAACATTCTATGAGAAGTAATACACTAACTATAAACATTGTTTAGAAACACAGGATTTCTCTACACATGGATCTTTCACTAGTGTGGTATCCCTGGGCAGACCAGGCACTCAAGTTTGAGGACAAAAGCCCTCAATTCCTACTGCTGATTGGTCCTTCTTAATGTGGCAGCAGTGCTGAAAATGCAGCTTACACAAGTCAAATATTGAATGACCTATTTTCAAGGACCTGGGTATACCAAAGCTTTTAGAATTAAATTCAGTTTTCTTTGGAATGTTCACTTGTTGAATGTGTTGGGAAATCCATTAATAGAGACCATTAGATGCTATGTAGCACAAACCCTTAAAAGCCTTGGCCATTGTTAAGTGTCTCACATTCTAATCTTCCTTACAACAAATAAACCATCCACAACACAGTCACGAAATTTATATTAAAAACCACAGGAAAGTAAATTAAAAATTAACTCAGTGTTCTGTGTAGGCCAAGTTTCCCCTCCTCATGTTAACCTAATTTTGTTTTATTTCTATCTTTCATGTAATTGTTTTTTTAAACTTTTATCCCTGGTAATTAACCACAGTAAAGAAAAGTAAATGGAGATCTTGGAAGTTTTGTTTGTGGGATCACATCACATCTTAAGATATTTACCACAAGCAACATAAGAATTTCTCCTGTGCTTGTTTAGTCAAGCTTTTGTTCTGAAATTGTCGCAGTTCTGTAAGTAGATGAGTTAATAGTTTTAATCTGTTTTATTTCTCATCCTGTGAAATATCATCTAATGCAAGCTTTAAAGAATATGAGGTTACAGGCGTGTGTATTTATTTGATGGGTTTTATTTCCTTAGATTATTTTATGCAATTAATAGTGTTAAAAGACCAGCTGCATGAATCAGATGTGTGTTCCCTTTATGAAAATTAACTACAAGGTGAAAAGTTCTTCCCAGCCCTTGCTGCAGTAAGAGTTTTGTCCATCAGTTTTCAGTGTAAGATGATGGGGTTTTTTCAGATTCTTAGAATGTAAGAACAGACAAATTTTCAAAGCATGGCATATGTGGGAGCCATCCGATTTTCTTTCAAAAATATTTGTGCCAATAATACACCTCTGAACTGAAAGGTTACCCTCTAATAAACAAAGGAAATTTTGAAGGATTTCATTACAAAAGAAGTTAATCTAGAATCAGGATATCTTTTTTTAGACATAGTTTATCCCTAGTGAGGGAAAACTGAAATGTGGCCAGTTCTCAGCTCTTTTAAACATCAGCTTAGCTTATTAAGTTTCCAAGTTGACATCCTGGCTCAGAAAGACCTGACACATGAATAAAAGGACAAATCCAAAATTGTTGTAAGGGCTTGTATTTCACTTCCAACTTCTATGCTTGTTCATGTGCAAGTCACCGTAGAGTTCAAGTGAGCCTAGAATATGAAACAATGTTATTTTTTCTTATGGAGAGGTGGTGGCTGGAAAAGGAGAGATTCCTTGGGATTTTACAGTATAAGAGTACTTTTCTACAATAGTGATGCTACTATTGAAGTCTCTACAGAATTCCAATATAAGCAAGGTACAATCAAGTCTGATACTTTCAGGGATCTGGCTATCAAAAGTATTTTATCATTGATTAAATGGCCTTTACATTTTGAAAGCAATTATAAAAATTGCAAGGAATCTCTCCCTCCCTTTCTAGTAAGGATGAATTTTGTATGTGCTTCTGACTATAGAATAATAAATCGAGTGTTAAATAGTATAAAAATTAGAAGATTAATAGAAGATTAAGAGTGAGTTTTCAGTTTGTTTCTGGGAGGAGTCTGAGAGAACATTGTTTTGTGGAAAATGAATCCTTTACCCTCACATACCAGTAAAACTGAGCTATCTAGATAAACACAGCATAGTATTCAAACTGTAAGTTGTTGATCCTTACTGGTATGGATCAACAGTTTCAACCACAAGCAGTTGAATATGCTTGTGGATATTCAACAAATATCCACAAATATTCAACAAATAAAAAATTCAATTTTTTATATCACTGCAAAAAATACATTACCCTTTTTTTAATTTAACTGCCCTTATTCCACAGCACCTAAGTGGATGTGATTCATTTTCACTAAAAAGGCAGGCTCACCTGGAAATAGCCCAGTCATGAAAATCTGCAAAATCTGACGTGGATAAGTTGAATTCTTTTGAAAAAGACATTTTCAGAAGTCTTCTAAATAGTTTTATTTGTATTATCTCTGTCTTAGCTAATAGCTGAATTATCTATTATAATAATAACACAACTAGTCAAATACTGCATTTTATTGAGTTACTGCATCTTTTCCATGGGTCAGGAAAGAATTTGCATTGTGTCCTCTGCTCTGTTTTATCTTTCAGCAATTGGTTAATTGCATTTCACACGTAAATTAAGTAGTAGCAAGTTATTAAATGGTGGAGACAGGATGCTGAATTAGATTAATTATTGTCTAATGCTACAAAGCATAAAAATTCCGAAGTACTATTGCTGTATTTAATACAGTTCACATGTTTGAAGCAGTGTGGTAACTTCTCATTAGTAAATTTTATTTTTAAGGATGACTTGTTTTGGTCATCCTGACTCAGTAATTTTTAAGTAAAGAGGTGGTTTGATGTACTGGCTTCCATTTAGCTACTTAAACAAGCCAGTGATGCTTGAGCAGGATATTCTTTTGGATTGACTATGGCTTTTGATGCAGTGCTTTTAAGAAGCATTCTAAAACATAACCCAGCAACGTATACACCATGATTTGTTTTTCAAACTGATGTTATATATGAGTAGGTTTAACATTTTCACACAATGCTGTGCATTTAGGAAGCCTGTGTTTTGCATGGGTCAGGATTGCTTTTAATTTTTTTTTCTCAGAAGAGATAGGGGAGCATAATGACCTCTGCTTTGTTTTTCCCATTGCCTTTATTCTCACTAGCTTTTTCCTAAAATAAAAAGAGGGAGTTAAAAGAAAGGGGTTTGGTAATTTTTTGCTCTTAGGGAATTCAGGAAGAATTGGGTAATGGTCTTATTTTGGCTATTTAATTCAAGATGGTTTCTCATAAAGTCTAGCTTCTGGCCTTACAATAAATTTTGTCTGGGCAAGTAGCTGTGGTTTCTATTGCCATTAAAATGAACACGAAATGCACTAGCGCTGTGCAAGTAGGTTTGTATTAAAAATAGGCTGGGGCGTCCACTTTTGGCAAAACCGTATTTACTGCACTTTTGCCTTTTTAAGTATGAGGAGAAATTTTAGAGATAATCTGGTACTCGGTATATAACACACTGTAGAAATACAGGATGAAGTGTTGTGATCATTTTTGGTTTTAAGTTTTTCTTCTCATATTGGGCACAGTGCAGTTCTTCAGTCCCTGATGTGTGTGCAGGAATGCCATTCTCCAGGATTCCCACCACACAGGTAGTGTGCTGCCAGTTTCAGGACTAAATACTCTGACCAGTGCTAAGACATGTAATAGATGTGTATTCCCTTAAGAACCTCCCAGGGTGATCATGGATCTTTTTATGATATTTGAATTTACTTTCAGCTCAAGGTCTTCTAAAATTATTTCAATGTATGAAAGTTAAAGCTAAGGTTAGTTCTTTATCTGAGCTCAAACAGGGGTTCAGACTAATTTACTTAGTTCCTAGTTTAATTTAAGAATGTTTTGTACAGTCATTTAGATGTGTGAAGATTTTTATAACGGTTTGAGGAAATAACATTTTTTCTGTGATTTTTATAATGCATCACTTATCAAACTATCATGAAGACTTTACAGAGAACATAAGGAAATTTCATTCTCTTTGTTCTGTCAGAAGCCACCATGACATTTTGGTTATTGAAGGAAAAGCAGTATCAATTGTCTGACTTTTTTTTTTTTTTGAGTTAGCAGAGAGATCAGCAAGTGGGGAAGAAGCCAAGGTTGGATGGGGCTCTGGGCCACCTGGTCTGGTGGAAGGTGTCCCTGCCTATAGCAGGGAGTTGGAGCTACATGATCTTTAAATTTCCTTCCAACCCTTAAAATTCTATGATCCTGTGATTCTATGATGACCCTTCCCAACCAGTGTCAAGGAAGTTCATTGCAAAATATATAGAAGGAAAAATTAATTAACAAGAGCACTCATATTGAAATCCTATCCTTGACTTCATGCAAGAGGTGCCATAGGCTACATTCTGCTGTAACCTTACTTGAAATTATTCCATTAAAAGGGGACTGCTTCAAGAACACCAGCTTGGTATTAGGTCGTTGACTGTAGATTTATGGAATGTCAGCCCAGCAGCATAATTAATAGCTCCTCCTTAACTAATTAAAGAAGAAAGTTGTGTTTCAGCAGTGATAAGAGTATTTGCCCAGTATAGCAATTAATCAAAAGTCTTTTAGTGTCGTAACTATAAGATTAGAGATATTGATCATCAAGTAGCCAAATGTGTGTTTCAGTTTAGCAAATGAGATAATTGGTAAACATTTTTTCTTTAAATTATTAAATTTGAGTAGTTGATTACCTTGAAATTTGCCAGAGATTTGGATGGGTTTCACACATCTGTGCTGTGTTTCCCATTGAGAAACCTGTAGTACTACGTAGGGAGATTTTTCTCTCTTTCTCCCCACTTGGCCAACTAGTAGAAGAGTCAAATACAGCATCAATGCTGTGGTACTATTTAAACTGAGTTAATAGTGAGTACAACAGAAAAGGAAGGCTTTTGTTTCTGAACGTGGAATTTTATGTATTGTCTAAAGATAAGTAGTATTAAAAAGTTAATTTAAAAAATTCAACAGCCTCTACATGCCATCCAATGAATAATAATTATTCCATTGAAAACTGAAAGTTCTTTATACAATTTAATAGGATTTTAGAAGTTGCCAGTGAAGTCTGCACAGCAAAGTGCATAAAGTGACTCAACCCTTGGCATGAGCAAGAAACTGTCTGAGAAATGCCATGGCAGCTTAATGACCATTCTGTTACTGTGTTCCCTAAGAATGGAATTGTTCTGTTTTCTTTTGTACTGGTTACATGAAACATTCCTTGCTACAATAATTTAGGTAAAAGAAAGAACCCAAATCCCAAGGTCCAGGCTTAACTTTTGCCAGTGATATGTGGCTATTTCTAATTTATGCAGAGTATAAAGAGTCATGTACAGAGGTTACACTTCTTTGAGCGTTCAGTTTTTCTGAGTGTTCAAATTTCTATGAATGAAAGAACTTAATTTAGTTAGAAATAAATTGGCTTTTTTGAAAATAAACTTGCAGTTTGCTAAATACCTTGCAAACACCAGTAAATGCATTCTTACAGTTTGATTAAGCACAAGTTTTAACCTTTTTAATCACTGAACTCGTGCTGAGAACTGCTACCATGGTACAGCATTACTGAAGAACAGCAATTTTGGCATAAGAGGATAGTTAGTGGAAAGTTTGGAAAGGTAATTGAAAAATTGTCAGAAGATTTTATCTTTTTTATACATTCTTAGGTGGTTTTTTTTTTTTTAAGTATTCAAAATTTTATTTGATGTGTGTGTTATGTTCCATGAAGTAAATGTATCTCTAAAATAAAGACTGTTTGAAAGATGGGGATTTTTTTTCCTTTGTCTGCATTTGGGCCAGAGGTCTGTTTTCTGTAAAAGTCATGTCTGTTTTAATTTACCCAGTCATTTTGACTAATTCAGTATATTGATTACTAGTTAAGAATAGTTTGGTGCACTGTGTATAAATAGCCTGATGAATATTTGGAAAGTGGCAAAAATATTTTATCAGGGAAAAAGGTTTAAATCACATGAGCCAGGTAAATGTTTAGCTACCATCACTGTTTAGGGAAACCTGAGCATAATTCTCCAAATCATAATTTGGTTTTTCATGTGTCTTCAGGGTTTTTATTTCCCTTTCTGCATTCAGATGCTGGAGGTTTTGCAGGGCTCAGCCAAGCATGTGTGAGTTCAGACGTGTGCACAAACATGTGCTCACGCTCACAGCCCCTGCTCCCATCAGCTGTTTGTTACTGCCTGGGTACTTTGGCTTTCCACACTTTGCCTTCCACTGCTTCACATTCAAGTGTGAACATCCTGGGGGGGCATTCTTTTATGTTTTATGTTACTCAGAATTTCCATCTGCTTTTACTTGACTTGTGGTTGTGAAGATCATGCTTGGCCCATGGGATCTTACACAGTGGCAAGAGGATTTGGAGTTTTGTCAGCCAGGGAAATATGTCTGGCTTTTTCTTTTTGTTATTTTTTTGTTTGTTTTTTTTTTTTGCTTTTTTTTCCTTCTCTTCAGCAGCTTTCATATGCTCCTCTTCTTGTGTGGTCCCACTAAAATGAGTATATTTAACAGAAATACTTTCCCTCTCTATCTTCTGTGTGCTGCTGTCTTTTAGGCAGACTGTATAAGAAATCTGAGGTACAAAAAATGTTAGTCATGACTGAAAACAAGGTAGTGTTACATAGAAAGGTACTTCAATCATTGCACATTCCAAATTTATAACAGCATTCCACATTCTGGTTATAGATGTGTCTTAGTGGATCTGCAGCTACCAGTAAACATCCCACTTATATATTTGTTGAGTATTTTGTGCCTTTTTTTTGCAGGCACTGCTACAATCTACAGTTCAGAAGCAAGAGGCAGCTATTGAAAAGCAGTATATATTAACCATTGAAAAGCATTCTCACAAATGTGAAGAGCTCCTTGATGCTCAGGTATGGATGTGCACATGCAAGAATTTCCATTATTTTCTTTTAGTGTCAACTTTCTCCTGTTTAAAAAAAAATATTAACATGTATGATCCCCAAAGAAAATGATCCATCTCTCACCTTGTTTCCTCAGCGTGCCACTAAACACAAGTATTTTAAAATGCAAAATAAATATGGACTCTTCATACATTGGGATCAAAAATGTTCTATAGCACTGGAGCCTGCTTGGAACAGATACAAGGAGAGTGTAGTACTGAGGAAAAAGAGCAACTTAATACTTACTTCTTAGCAGCTGCCATTTTCTGTGGTCTTGGAGAAACCATTCAATTAATTTTCATTTATGCGGTTAAATGCAGGATTTGATGATGTGAGATTTGCATGAGTTCTTGGTCCAAATTTTGAGATGGTTCTTCGATGGTAGATGAAAACGTGTTGTCCACACCTATTTTTATTTCATAGAAATCTTACCTAAAAATAAAAAGCTATGAGGGGTTATATAATATCCGGAAATACATATATGCATTAATGGCCTAAATTGGCTCATTTGGCATGACTTGAGTAAAAGCACACTGCACATCAAGTATTTGAGATCAGAGCAATTAGTGATGAGTCTCTGAACAGCATCAACCTGGTTTGTTATCAGTAAGATCTTGATTTGACTGAAGTGCAGCTCTTAAATCAAAATAATAATAACCATGAGCATGGGAGTTTTAAAACCAAGAAGTTAATTTGTTAATAGCCCCCTGGAGTTGCTTATATTGCAACTAAGTTACCTTTTAAGTAGTGTTAGCAACAATTCTGCAAAAAATACCAAGGATATTTCTTTAAATTTTTGTGGAGTGTCTTAGTCCTAAATACATCAAAAGTCCCCTTGAAAGACTCCACCATTTCCTGAAGTGTTTTAGTACTATTTGACTGTTCTAACCATATCAATTAACACCTAGTGCAAATGTGTATTAAATATATAATAATCTGTGTAAAAAGTGTGAAGGAAAGACGTCATAATGAGGAGGAATTGATTGCATCATGAGTGAGGTTGTTGCACTGAATTGCAGTTATTTAATGCTTGCTATAAAGCTCTAAGACAAAGTAAAAATGAATTTTTGAAAAAAATGGTTTGCGTTTTTGAAATGAGCACATAATTTGCTAACTTGATATCACTTTCTGAATCTTAAAAAGGAATGAACCTCATGAGATACAGAAATGTCACAGGAAGATTTTTTGAGATTTTTCTTACAGACTGAGCAATCACTTGCACCTGTGATCAGTCAGATTTGCATCAAAACCCCAAAAATGCGACAGAAGTGTGGAAACATGTTGAAGAGGTGCAGATTTACCTGGGGAGAATCCAACAATGTAAAAAACTGTTCTTGGTCATAGCACAGGGAGTGGTTGCAACAAAACACAGTGCCCAGTTCACTGCATTTAACACCCCTTTGGATCCCTGAAAAAGTGTGTATTTTGTTCACTAATTTCAAGTCATTTCTCATTCAATAAAATCGAGGTTTTTCACCTCTAATTGTAATGTAACATTGAGATTTTGAAGCCTAAACAAATAGACATCTGTGGGTGCTTGTGGTTGAGCTATCAGGTTTAATTAAATATGATTTATACTGGCAGATTTTATTCACTCATAAAACTTTGTTGAATGATCTGAGAAGTGGGTGGTATGTTTTTTATTCTTTTTGAACATATCTATTCTTAAATGTATGTTTTCATGTTTATTTTCACACTTCTTTTTCTTCAAAGATTTTATGTGCTAACAACTAAGTTTGATGAAATTACAGCTGATATTTATACACAGATTTCATTGCTGGTTTATGTTATGGGATTGTAGATGCATAGCCACATTTACATGGAGATTTATGAGTGTTTGTATCACTGTAAAGAATTTTTTTGGTGCAGCAGTAACAATTATACACTCAACACAGAAATTGCTTCCTTTTTTTGTTCCCTTCTAATATTCTTGCCTTACAAGCGGTATCTTGCCTTCAAAGTTTTAAGCCTGTGTAAAATTGTCAAACCATACAGATTTTGTGCTCATTTGCCATTCCTTTTAAATTTTCTCCTGTTTTATTTCCAGTTCCACACAAACATAATTATCTTATGATAACTCCTTTGTCATGTCTTCTACGTACTCTCGTTTCCCCTCTAAATTCCCATGCCCCTTCTTCACAAAAGTGTCTTTGAGATGGAGGAAAAGCTGTTTTTCTCTTTTTGTCTTTAACCTTTCGTTAGAGTTTATTGAAGTTTCTGATTTTGAAGCTTAATTATATTAGGTGGAGGTGCAGGTGAAAATCCTGTCCAGAGAGGTGCTATTCTGCTGATAATGTTCAGTGTACAAGGTTGTGTTTTCCAGGATGGGGAAAGAAGTGAAAGACCTCATTGCATGGTCCTATCCCAGTTTCCAGCTGGAAAAATACCTGCAGTTGATATTTGATCATTGTGTGTCAGGCTTGTCAGCAAAGTGTCTCTCTGTAGGTAGCATCCTGGGTGATGATCACTAGAATGGTTCCTTCCCAGGTGACATCCTCTAGGGCTGCTGATTCTCCCAAGGAAATACACTCCCATATCCAAAGTGGTGAGGGGAGCAGGGGAGGAGGAGATTCTGCCCCTCTGCCTCTCTGCTCAGGTGAGACCCCCCTGCAGAGCTGGAGATCAGAGGGATGGAGCAGCTCTGCTGGGAGGAAGGGCTGGGGGAATTGGGATTGTTCAGCCTGGACAAGACAAGGCTTTGGGATGACCTCATTGTGGTGTTCTAGCACCTGAAGGGAGCCCACAGGAAAGATGGAGAGAGACTCTTGACAAGGTCCTGGAGTGACAGGAATGGTTTCACACTGTCAGAGAAAATGTTTAGGTTGGATATCAGGAAGAAATTCTTCCCTGTGAGGGTGCTGAGGCCCTGGCACAGGGTGCCCAGAGAAGCTGTGGCTGCCCCATCCCTGGCAGTGTCCAAGGCCAGGTTGGATGGGGTCTGGGCAAACTGGGATAGTGGAAGGTGTCCCTGCCCATGGCAGGGGTTTGGAACCTTATGACCTCCAAGGTCCCTTCCAACCCAGGCCATTCTGTGATTCCAATATTTCCCAAAGCAAACCACGCTTTGGTTTGCCACATTCTTGTGGCACATTCAGGGACACCAGTGTCGTGGTGTCTTCCATCAATGAACAGGACAAAGAGAACTCTTTTTCTCTGTGCCAGAAATCACTCATGTCATATACTGAATATTTAGGAAATCTATGCTTGTCAGTTTTACTTTATTAGAGTTTGATGATATCAGAAAATGCCAGGAGAAAACATACCAGTTCTTTACAAGTTGGAAAATTACAAATTTCATCCTCATCTTTTTCTGAGACTAACCTTTGACACCTTCTGAAAAGGAACATCGGACGTGGTCTTGTGGTTTTACTCATGTGCTGTGTGAAAATACATGGTGAAAAACAATCAACAAATTTTTGAACAGATTTTTTTTTTTTATACTCAGAAATTTGTCATACTATTCAATCAAAGCAGATGGCGTTAAAATGTGTCTATAGCAAGGTACAATTTTTATTCTTCTTGAAATAGTCAATGATCTGTGTATCAAAATATCACATATAAATATATACAGCAGTTATTTTTCATGATGATTTTATGTGTCTGAAACATGTCTCACATTTCTAGATGCAGCAGCAGTTTAAGACAACTAGAGTTACCCCCATGTCTTTAATGTTTTTTTCACTCTGTCATGATGTTGGCTGTCATTTGTATGATAAATAGCAGTTCAAAATCTCTTGCATGAAATTTTTTGTCTCTTTGAGACTCTCTCAGAGAGGTGCTGGTTTATCTTCAATAGGAAAACAAGTGGTCAGTCAGAATAAAAATTCCACTGGCTGGAATCTTTTAAAGTTTAGGATGCTTTCAAGAATAGCCTGTGGAGAAGCAGGAAATTGGTGTGACAATAGTCACAAACTGCTGGAATATGAATATCTTATCTTCTCTAATATTTGGATGGTTCATTTTGATGTTTTGCATAATCTTTTATAAAAGTACCAGTATGTCTCCTAACAACTCCTAGAATGTAGAATGTAGGAAGTACTATTCTTTTACAGCAATTGTTTGTATGCCGGGGAAAATGTTTACTTCAATTGGAAACTTAGTTTCACAGGAGATAATAATTTTCTTAGAATATAATTTTCAGAATATAATTTTTCTTTGATTCCAAATAATTGCTTTTATAACTACTCAAAATGTGCTTCATGCTTCTCTAATAATTGTTTTTTATTAACTTTGATTATGTTTTTCTTCTCTTGGAAGAGGCTCTGTGTTTTTCCCATCTGATGGTAGTAATTATGAAATTTTTTAAATGCCTGATCTTGAAGGGGCCATATGCAAACTAGATTCTGAGAGTCTTGTGAATATTTGCATTTTTAGGAGACATTGGCCAAATTTTTGCAGTGAGAGTAGTAATGCTGAAGACTTGCAGACTGAAAATACTAACACTGCAGTTAGCACAACCTTTCTGGTTCAATAATTCCAACTATGATAGGTTTGGAAATTATTTCGAGTACTTACCTTCTCCCCTTCTTTGAGCATTTCCTCTCAATTCCCAGAAATCTTGTCATTTGCTGCTGCAGAAATATTTGTTTATTCATTCCCTTCAAAATCAAGTACTTCTAATCAGTCTTTCCTGTTACATTTTCATGTAATTCACCTTCACATAATTAATCTTTATAGTGCGTTTTTAGATATGTTGCTCTTTTGCCAAGAGTGAAGTTGCACTTTCTCGGAATTTAAAGGAGCAAAAAACAAGGATTGATTAAAATCCTGTGACAAATTTGAGAAATGTATTTCTGAATTCCTGATACCTCCTTGATTTCCATGATATAGACAGAATCAAAATGAAAAGAGGAAGAGTCAGCTTTTCCTGTGCTGGGATGGTTTTTTGTTTGTTTGCTTCGTTTTCTTTTCCAAATTCTGAAATTTTTTTCAGGATTTCTTCTGCTTTAGCAGGGAAGTGGGACCAGATG